CTCTGTCAACAACACGTCGAGATTCCTTCTTCCTCTGTTCCTCCTTTTCGCCTTCTTCTTCTTCTACCCTCATCCTCCAAACACATACCGTCTCTCTAAGTATTCCGTGTCTTGAACACCCCCCTTGATCATCTAAACCTTTTCACACGTCCATACCACCTGCTGCAGAGGACCGACACCATGTTCTCGGTTCTCTTCCTCTATTTGCAGCTTTTGCTGTTCAAAATGTTGTACTACGTTAGAGGCCATGACAAGAACCTCATCACCAAGTCCGCCGCTTTTGCTCACTTGCCTGAGCCAAATATGAAGCTCGAGGCTCCTGAGTGCGGGCTGCCCGGATGTAGCCTCCTCGACCATCACACCTACCTTGACGTTGAGAAGGGAGGCAGACTTCCCAACCTCCGATGGACTATGCCTCGCTGCGGAGAAGCCAGGGAGTTTGTACTGATTTGCGAAGATCCCGACGTCCCCATCCCGTCTATGGTCTTCGTTCACGGTCTTTTCTTCGAGATTCCACCCACTTGCTTCGTTGCCTACGATGATGACGTTGACATGAATCCCAACATGCCTGGCCGCATCACCTTGGCTGGTTGGAGATACGTTCCTAACCTTCTTGGGTCGTCTTACATCGGTGCCTCGCCCCCCTACGGTCACGGTTATCATCGCTATATTTTCACCATCGTCGCGCTGAGCGAGCCCCTTGACATTGCCCAGCCAGACAAGGCCACCGTCTCAGTCATTAAGGAGGCCATGGCTGGCAAAGTCATCGGATGGGGTGAATGGTTAGGCACCTATCAGCGCACTATGCCTCGCTAACTTGCGTATCTGCTCCTTCGCCAATTCTTCACGGTTCGTCTCTTTATGCGAGTACCTACTTTCAACACGTCTTTGGTTCACGTCTAGGAAGGATTACAGACAGCTCGTTGGGATGACATCTGGACAGAATGTGGTGGATTAATTGACCTTCCTTAGACTGGTCTTCTTTGGAGTGGTCTTTTTTGAACTGGTCTTCTTGTGGCTGGTCTCCGTCTGTTTTCCCTTTTCAATTCTGTTTTCGACTTGATTTTTCTCGCGACTCGTCATCGTGTTGTTTTTTCTTTGCCGTTTGTGTTCTCGACTCAATGTTTCTCATGACTGATCATTCGTGTGTTGTTTTACATCATATGCTGCTGGTCTTAGTACCAGTCTAATCATTGATTGAGCTAACGCGTCGGAACCTAATCTAATTTATTAACTTGCTTGATCTCACATAGTATATAGGATACCCCTCGTCCTCGCCCCTCACTCCTCGTCGTCCTTCACGCCCCTACACGAATCAGTGTTAGCCACAACCACGAGCCTAGAATGTATAAACGACCTACCAGAGTTATCCTCAACTTGCTTCATGAACACTGCGAACCTCCGCATGGTGGCTTCAACCGACGACTCACACGCCCGTAGCGTTGCGGGGCCCGCACATCGTCCCCCTTCAATAGCCTCTTTCCCTAACGACCTGAATATCTTTTGCAGAGTCTCCAACACCTCCAAGATCTTCATTAAGTTCCTCCCCAGTAGTGTTCTTACAAGCATCACCGATTCCCTTTCATCCAGCTCCATCTGCCCCAACACTGTCTTACTCCTCATACAGATAAATTGCGGCAATGGCTCCTCGAACGCCAACACTGATGGATCAAATAGCATGTTTCCCCTCGTAATATTATATGCTATACAGACGGCTTCAAATAGGGAGAGACATTGCTCCGCCAATGCTGGTATCATCACATATGATGAGTGTGGGCTTTTTCGACAGTCTTGGCATTGGAGTACATCCTTGCCGTGTGTATATACCCTTTGAACGATATCGAGAACCGTGCCGAGTTCAACAACGGGCTGGACAGTCCGGAGCTCCGTAATTATTTGAAGTCCATTAATCGAGCAGGGGCAGTTGGTAGTGGACGGTTCCATTCTGGTGGCGTGCTGGGGCATTTGGTGCCCCGTTGACATTGCTGATGTGGCTTCTCTATTGACGGTAAGTCTTATCATCCTCCAGATGCTGTGTGATGGAGGGCTGGGATATGACTCAATCTAACTTCATACTTGCCTTCACGTGTCGTTCCATTCAAGTACGACCTCGGTGGGTGTGATTCATGGCAGCCTCACATTTCCGATCAACCTTGAAGGAATTGGCTTTGTTGGTCCAGAATATCTGGACAGCCTGTTCGTCGTGGAACATGTTGTCATTCGACCCGCAGTGGGTTGCACAGATATCATTGTGACCGGTAGGCTGGTCGACGTATAGCAATTTGGCTTGGATTGAATACGAGAAGCGGACCCTTGCTTTGGCGATAATCTGAAGGCAATACTGATTGTTTTCTGGTTTAGGAGTTACGGGAGTTCAGAAGCAGGATACGGCCTAGAAAGGTCCTGGAAAAAGCGACCAATAGTCGAATCAAAACTAATCACTACAAAGTTTCTAAACTATGAACAGCAGTGCCATCGCCTACACCCTGGCCATCCTCTTCATTTGCAACATAACCTCCTCCAACCGCCTCTCAGTCTCCTTAGTCAGAGATACGCGAGCGGTCGATTCTTGCGTATAAAGTGTGATTCTTTTGGCCGTTGACAGCAGATCCGATAATTGACTGTACAAGATCTGCAAGATGCAGAAGTACTTGTCACCAGACTGGACGCAGAACTTTCCCACTACCAATGGACATGCATCAATTTGACCCATGAAATGCAGCCCACCACTCCGGTGCCGTCTGCTCACATTTCCTGGAATATCCTGCTTGCAATCCGGCAGCATATGCTCATGATACCCGTTGTAAAGCAATCTTTGTGGATTCCCGGCTTCCCCTGTCGTTATAGCCTCCAGATTCGTCATCAGACTGTCGATATTGACAACGATGACCATGAGTATATCCCTCTTCGTGATGCAGCAGACGCAACATTTGAGAATGGTATCGGATACATTCAGCAGCATACGTTGACAGTGAAGAATATGGTCAATCGACATATACGGCCCCATCCTTACGGCGATCGACATCTGCCTGAACGATTCCTGGATCGTGTACTCGTGACACTGGAATTGATATGCGTGCGGCGCTAGAACGGCTGACACGGGCTTTATCTCTCCGGCAGGGAGGCCATATAGGTATGGTCTCTTTGTCATCTTCGCTTGAGCAAATGGAGTAGTTTCGGTGGCTATCTGTCTGGCTGGGAAAGGGTCCATCGTGGAGAATGGCAGCGACCAAGCCAGGGGTTCTTCCTTCAGATATTTCGCCTCTGATGGGGCGTCCATGATACCATGAATTTTCTCCAAGGTCGTGGCTGCGATAAGCGGTGTATCCTGAATAAAGCTTGTCGAGTTGTGCTTCGGATCTACTGGAGAACGGCCACCAGTACTTTCAGGCTTGACGCTGCTTACAATCGAATCCAACAGCAAACCTTCCTGCCCGAGATCGACCGGCGGGTTGGCAATGAACTCTTGCACCCAGCTATCGGAAAATAGATCGAAGCCACTATCCGCGACTATTCCAATTAACATCACACAGCGGTATAATAGCCGACAAGTTAGCGACACTTACACAAAGCTGTGGGAGTAGCCTCATCCAAGAAGCAATCGCCCGGTAAACTTGGAACCGAATCTATCACACCAACAGGGTCCAAAACACTTTGGCTCCCACCTGCCTTGTCCAGTAGCAGTAGAGTATCATCCAACACAGTCTCTTGCTCGTCTTCTAACTTCATCTTCTTCTTTCTGTTATTGTTACTGCTGTTATTGCTGTTACTGTTCTTGGAACCGTTCCGCGCTCGCGACTCTTGCTTCCTAGGCCCATCTAGAAACTCACGATCGCGACGATAGTCGCTCTCGTCGTCGACATCTTTCTTCTTCGCTGGCCTCCCTAACCGTCGCGATATGCTGTAGACACAGTCGATCTGGTGTTTCTGACACCGACGACAGGCTGGCTTTTCATGGCTGCAACGGATCTTGGCTTGTTGGCAGGCGTTGCAGGTGGAGCGGACTTTGACACTTTTAGGCAGTGGATGGGGATGCTCGTTCATGTTGAATAGATAGATATATGATCAGTATAGATAAGAAGAACACTGCTATATTACTAGCGTCGTAATAATTCACAGCAATAAGTAAAGCTCTCCTGCATCATCCTCCAGGGGGTTACATACTACTTATATGTACTATAATAATAGTATGCAGCAGTCAGTACTACTTACTACAACAACAACTACTACTACTAGTAGCCATAGCAAGCCCAACCCAACCACACACCACAAATCCCAGCATAGAGGATACTATGAACTAGTTGACCGCCACGCCACGCCAAGCCACGCCATGATGCCACGCCCTGCACGCCCTACCACACAGGGACAGGTTCCCACACAGTAAGCAACCCGTTCGAACGGGACGACGGGTGGGTGATTAAGTTGAGGTTACATGGGCGAGAGAAATCTTTTCACGTTGTACACGACCCTTCTGCCATTACCACCTACTAGTCTACTACCCACTTAACTCCTGATTTCTACCGCTAAGGCTGATCCCAAAGAAGATTGTCTCTGCCGTTCTTGTCTCATATGCCCAGAAACTCAGAATCTTTGAGTTCTGAGTCACTAGTACTTGTCCTACCACCCTTCTTGCCCTCCTCCTGCGTGATGATGATTGGGGAGAGACATGCTTCCCTCCTCTCCACACGATGGCTTGCTTTGTCTGTGTAGGGTGGATTGGACTAAGTGTTAATTGTAGGGTGGTGTGGTGTAGTATAATGTAGTATATGCTTGTCATGAATTCTGTCCAGCTTTGATCCTCCAGCTACTGCTGATGGTAATTAGAGAGTTCCGAATAAGGTAGGTCTATCCCCCTAGGTTGTGTTACGTTGGTGCGGTGCCTTTTACGAATATGGTAGATGGTTAGTGCGTGCTGATTCATTCATTTTTTTTATTATTTTTTTGTTCAGAAAGTAAGGTTTTACCATACCGCCTTGTTGGGTCGGATTTAGGCTATAGCGCTAGCTGAGTCGGGCCTGGGCCTGGACCTGGCTTTCTTCGAAGAAGTTGTTACTCATTGCTAGCGTGGTCTCTGTCGGGGAGTCGGTGGGTGGAAGTGTTGTTGTAGTGGTAGCAGCAATAGAAGTACTGGTAGTGAGAACAGAAGTACCAATGCTGCTGCTGCTGCTGCTCAAATCGCATTCAACCCACCTCATCGAAGTCGTCGTCGTTGTAGCCGTACTCATACTCGTAGACATAGCCACCCCTCCCTCACTCCCACTACCAGTAGGCAAGTCCACCTCATTTCTAACGTAAAACCAATTCCCCGCTACGGGCGTCCCCAGTCCCGCTGCATCTACAAAGAGCTTCATGTCGAATCCCGCTCGTGCCTCCGCTGTAGGGGGGAATATGTGCTCGAAACATTCTGGGAAGGTGTAGTTGGGTGGTTGAGTGTACAGGAGGTAGAGGTATCGGTGGTGAGAGTTGGTAGGGGGTTGGGGGCCGATGTAAGGTGCTGATTTTCTGGTGGGGACTTGGGGGTTTGGGAGGAGGATGTTGGTGTTGTTGGGGTATGGGATTAGGTCGGGCTGGTACCAGTGCAGGATGACGGTTGCTGTGGTGTGGTTGTAGAGGACGTCGAGGTCGAGGAAGAGGATGATGTAGGTTTGGTGCAGTGGGAGTTGCTGGGTGCTGAGGATTGGGAGGGGCTTCGTGTCTGTCATTGTTGGGTTAGGGGTTATGTGGTATGAGAGCAGGTGATAGAGGGAGGATATACCGAGTATTTGGAGGGTGTCGCCGGGTTGGATCCATGGGGTGTTGGGGTAGTGGAGATGGAGGGTTTGGGGATAGTGTGGAAGAGGGTCGATGATTTGGGTACTGGCTAGAGGCATGAGGAGGGAGATGAGGAGATAATAGTTCATAATGGTTTTGGGAATGGTAGGTACTAGGTGTAGCGGTAGAAACTGTGCGAGATGTCATGTATGTGGGCTTAGATTTGAGACTTTATTATAAATACTATCTCGCGGGCTTCAGTGTAACAGAACGGGAAATATTGTCAGCCGGTGATTATTGCAATCGGCTCTCACTATCACGATTCTGCTACCGGTCTATATCTCTCATCTGCACATCTCCATTCTATCCCCTTCACATACACCCACCCTAACAGCGGACACACTACAGCCCCAATCATTCCTCCCACCAACCCGTATGTCCATCCAGTTCCCCAGAGTACCATGGCTGGATGCACTAGTCCTGTTGCTGCTGCTCCTAGAAAGCACCGCACCAGGTTATTCGCCGCCATAGCTGTGGCGGGTGTACTGTAGTACAAATCCACAATAAGAATATTCATGATATTGTAGGCTGCTGTGATGGAGAAGCTGATGGCGAAGATGAGGACAAGGGCGTGGGAGAGGGTCGGCGTGGCTAGGCTCATGAGCGCGGAGTAGCTTAGGATAGACAAGGCTGCTAGAAGCTATGATATGGTACTCATCAGTCAATAACGTCATCAAGTAATGTCAAGAATGAGGGGTAACACCGTCAATGGGAGACAAATTTGGATTCGGGCCCGCTCAATTGGAAATGCTCCGTGGTGGTGCGCTTGGAGAATCGGAGACCCAAACTGCTCCCGTAGGCGCCGATAATTCCAGTCGAGCAGGAGCCCGCTGAAAGTTGTGCTTAGAAGGGATCCCACGCCAGCAGGAACGAAGACCAATCCGATTGCGAAGTCATTCAGATGGTAGGTCTCCTTGAACTGTGATGGGATTCCAGCAGTGACGGCGTAGTAGCTGGCAAAGAGAAGGCCATTGGACAGTAAGACGAGCCCGGTTGGGCGGTGCGAAAGAAGACGCAACGTGGTTAGTGGATTAGGAAGGGCAATGCTCGAAGATTTCTGGCCCGGGGGACTGGTAGTCGCGGGTGCTGGATTGCGCCAATGTCTGTACCAAGCCAGGCCAGACTGGTTCCAGCCGTTTGGTGAAATGGAGCCATCACCTACCATCCTGCGACATGTTTCCGGGAAGAAGATGAGGAGGGGGGCAAAAAATACCCCAGATGTTATTGCAAGAAACCAGAAAATGGCCTGCCAACCCAGGTACTGACTTAGGATCCCCCCAACCAGGGGTCCAACAGACGGCGCGAGGATGATCCCTAGAGACGTGATTCCCATATATGTACCGCGCTCAGCGGATGTTATCACGTCTGCAGCCACAGCAGAAGCGAGCGCGACGGTGCCGCTGCTACCGCAGCTCTGGATGGCGCGAAGGATCAGCAGTGCCGGGTAGCTGTGCTGCAAGGCGAGCGCGATATTACCTGTGATATAGACGGCAAAACAAAGGATATATGCTGGTCGACGGCCGGCTTGGTCGGCGAAGGATCCCATGAAGGCCGGGGCGAGACCTTGACATAGCTGTTCGGTCAGTGCAGCCAGCTGCTGATGAAAAAGTCCACACGTACCATGTATGTTGTGATTGTCAAGTTAATCTGCGAGCTAGTGACATGTAAGTCTGCAGCAATGGAGTTCAGAGCTGGATAGTAGATGTTAGCGGAAAGTGGTGAGAAACTGGACGCAAGCGCGGCGGTTAGGATGATGAGCCGTTTCTGGCCAGGTGTAAAAATCGAGTATGGCTTCTTCGCGGGCTGTTCAGCCAGCAGGGGTGTGCCTTCAGTGGCAGGCTGGTTTGCTGCCACCAGAGTCGCTTGATCTTGCTGATTGTTTGACATGATCTTCAACTCTATGCCCGAAATCGGAGGATTTCAGTTGTCCCAGCCAAGATTATCTTACTTCTAGACGAATACTGCATGCTCGTGAAAACCATGATTTGCTCTATCACCTAGTGTGACAACTGACGTATATACCATTCAACCATACTTACAATTTCGGCAATAGTCTTTCCTCTGCCTCCCCTGTGTAGATGTGTGATGGCCGCAGCAACTTGCCGCGTGTCACTGTAGGTTGTTAGAAAGTCCCGATATCCTACCGTCGCATCACGGCTTACGCATGTACTCCCGCCAATGCGCCATAATTCCCATGATCCGCTGGGCCAACATCGCCGCTGGGATGATCTCCGGGTCGAAGCCACTACACGTGTCAGCAGCGGGTCCAATCGAGCAACGCTTTCCTTCGGGCGCCGTACATGGCTGTGAAGATGAAATGTCCGTAGAAGTCACCGTTCACGTACAGCTCCCGCTCTGTGAAGTAGGCATCATTCGAACAAGTTCTCTCAATCCGCTCGGCTAGTTTAAAAAGCTTGTCTGCAGACATATCCAGATCCTTCAATATGGATCGGATTGGCGGTACTCGCGGATCGATGCCTTTGTACGAGCGATGGCCATACCCAAACACCTTCACGTGTCCCTGCTTCACGTTGTGAATATAACCTGGTATATTCTCGGCCTCGCCAATATCCCTCAAGGTTCTCTTGGCGGATTCCGTGGCGCCGAAATGCAGCGGCCCCCATGCCGACCCTATGGCCGTGATCAAGCAGGAGATAGGATCCGTCAAGGATGATGATGTGGCCAGAGCAGAGAAGACTGTCAATGCCATTCCGTGGTCCGAGTTGAGGATAGAAAACCGCCGGAAGCAAGACAGCTTGACACGATCGGGACGACCTGTCCTCGAGTCCACAAGTCCCGCCATCACAAAAAGATTTTCATAGTATGACCTTCCCCTAGAGGGCGGCGTAAATCGTAGACCGTTCCGATGACAATTCACAAGGCCAAATACCACAGCGTAGGCAGCCACAGTTCGGATTATTGCACGGTCGGTATCCTCAGGATTATTCCGATACATGTTAGCATCATGCGATGCCGGGATCATGTCAGGGTGACTAGCTAGACAAGCCGAAAGGCCAGCAACAATGAGCGGCAGCGGCGACGAGGTGCCTCTAGACAGACATTTCATCAGCGATGGCAGATGCAGATCCGATTTACTTACGGAAGGCTCCAGATCGTTCTCTGCACATCATCTGGCACGGCTAGCATGGCCTCTGTCAATTTGTGGCTGAGATTAATCCTCTGCGGCACTGTCGGATAAGATCCCCAGACAAGGAGATGCAGTACGTCCTCGAAATCGCTTTGCCAAAGTTGCTCCAAGCTGTAGCCGCGGAAAAGAAGCAAACTCCTCTCATGATCCCTAGAACAGTCAGGTCGTTCAGCCACTGCAGTGGAACTCGTACGAGAAGCTTATGGCCGTCTCCACAACGGTAGTATTTCTCAACCCAGGGTCATGTACCCTGAGGCCACCAGCGACCTGATCTGCACGGTCGGCTCCCATTCCTGGGCCTTTAATTTTTTTGAAGTCCACGGCCGAGACGGCATTTCTCCGGATTGGGATCTCATATTGCACATCGGTGCGCGAGTCTTTGACATAGAGTATTCCGGAGGACATTGAATTGACGATGCTCCGTAGCGGGTCCGCTAGTCGAGTTCTGTGGCATAGATGCCCCGCCATGTTGGCGAAACCATCATTTTAAGATCGCCTGGGACCGTGGCATAATTTCCCGGTGGGTAGCAAATGCCCGCAATAACTGACAAATTGTCTCGGGTTTCCAAGTTTTCGACAGTGCTGTTTTCGAAGTATTGACCGTCATCAATGTTCCAGTCGTCCGTTGCAGCTTACTCGGCTTCTTGCGGAGTAAATTTCTCGCGTATATGGCAGTTAGCCATGGTGGTACTATGCCTTATTCCGTCGTGGCATGCCATTCTTTAAGGGCACTTAAAACACCGATTCTCAACGCTGGTGGCCAGGTCTCACTCTTTACAGGCCTCTTAGCGAGCGGGACTGGTTGGTTAAAGGGTGTGTGATATTCCAAGAAACGAAAGTGAATTCGATGAATATAGAATTGTTTTATTATTAACTACATTGCATAATATTCGTCATATCATAGCATGTTTTGTGAACCCTCCATTCGGTGCTTGCTTACTCGGGCATATGCTTGAAAGGCTTCTCCAAGTGCTCCTGGCAGAAAGGAAGCTTGCTAACGGTCCAAATCTCGGTGTCCTGGAAGAGAAGTTTAGATCAGTAAGGGGGCTATTACACGGGATCGCAGAACATACGGGCTTGAGGGTTTTCTTGATTTCTGTGTCAAAAGTACCAGCTTTCAGGGCGATGATTTCTGGGGCCGCGTCGGGATCGTGCGCGATGGGTGAGCCACAATCCGAACAGAAGAGACGGTGCACCGCATGGCCGGAGGATCCCGTTCCAGACCACTTCTTGATGGGTCCATTGACCGTCAATTTGTCCTTGGGGACAACGGCAACTAGAGCTGTTGGGAAGGTCAGTAACCATGGAACGGCCTTGCTTAGTTCGAACTGGGGGGGTTGGGAGCCAAGGAGAACACCTACAGTAGGTTGACCCGCTTTGACGCTGGCAGTCGTCACAATGATCGTACCCCACGATGAGGGGTGCGTCGATGTCCACAGTGTAAGTGACAGCCTTGCACAGGCAGTGGCCGGACAAAGGCATTCTGGCAATAATTGGATGGAGAATTTGGGAGGGTGTTGGAGAATGCTGATTGGAGAGAAGGAGAGACTGGAAGGCGACCAAGGTGCTCACGAGATGAGGACCCTCGAGAAAAGTGGAAGACGAGGCGACGTATTTATAGCTGACATCTTGCCCATCCGCGAGGTTGAGAAGATTATCACCCAAGGATCCGGATGGGCGATGGGGTGGAAGAAAGCCGTTCTCGTTGACGACATGGCTGGATGGGCTGGAATTGGCGTTGGCCGCGACCGTCTGAGAAAACAACAATTTGTCATGCCCTGAAGAGGGGCGCGCCTTTGCGTCACGGGACAACCTCTCTGCTTCGTTCCTTCTGTTCTCCCTTCTCCAATTTTCTCCACTTCTCGTCCCTCGATGCGATGCACGGTTGCTTTGCTTTCCTTTCTTTGTTACGCCTCAAAAGAAACTTCTGCTCTAGCCCCCCTTGCTCACTTCTCGGACTCCATTTCCAGCGGGTGGATCTCTCTCCCTCTCCCTCTCTCAGAGCAGGTTTCGCAACAGCCGCGGTAGTTACGGAGTTACGCCGGAATCCAATCACTCACTCACTGCACTGCCCTGCACTCTCACCAATCATCCTCCAGCTGCCCCATATCAATCAGGGTGCTGATCGCACACTTGACATGCTGCCATCCCGAAATGGTGTGGGCGGTTGTTCCAATAGACGTGTCGATTTTAGTCCACAAACTATGCTGACCGGATAAGGTGCAGTGCTGGTCCCTCTTTCCATCCTACTCTTTCCGGACAAAGATTTGTCACGCTCTACCCCGGAGATGACCGGCAATGTGCTCTGAGTTAGTAGTCCATAATCTTGGAGATTTGAGATTCCTGATCCCGAATTGGGGAGCACTGGCCGCCGATCGCTGGCCGACAACTTCGCGACACGCGGGTCGGCGGGGGATTTGTTGAGGTCACCCCAAAGCCCGTGAAGTATCCGGTCAACCGAGCAAAAGACGCTTCCTGTGCATTACTCCACACCATGCGTGAGCTCCGAGCCATAGTGGGTGTGTGTGTTTGTGTCGGCAAAAGCAATTATCTGCTCACCGAATGCCAAAATTTGGGCGAATGTCAGATCTGCGCGGGGTATCCCTGCTCAACATACCCAGTCACGTATGCAGCACAATCTCCCGGAAGGCTTGATACCTGCTTAGGTAGATATCATGTTTGATCCATAAATCGACCTGTCATCTGCTGGAGCTGAAATCTTGTCCTCTGGAGCACTGTCTTGTTCAGCACGGTATGTAGGTAGACATGAAGAAACTTGTACATCGTTGCCGAGGGCAAACACTTGTACTCGCGTTCAACATCACCCCTGGGTTTGTTCGGTCTTCATGGCCTAGGCTGCACTTTGTCGTACGCTGCTTACTCCTGGGGCATGACGCTAACTGTGCAGCAAGATGTGCGATAATCCCAAAGGATGGCCCCAAATAGAGCTGCAGAGAGTATGCCACTGCATCATGTTTGGTTTCGGCGTAGAGATTCGGATGTGACGGTTTCCAGTTCACCATCGATTCGGGCTCTGATGTGGTTTCCAAAACAAAATAGCCGATTGGCATCTACGGAAATATAACCTTTCTGGGTAGGACCCAAATGCATTTGATCACTCTGCATATGCGAAGCCATGCATAATACAGCATCCCAGCCCAATTATTGCCTATGTTATCTACATTCTCAGTAGACAGGGTGTCTAGTGAGCGAAAGGCATGCGAGATATGGAATTGGGAAAGAGATGTGATAGGGGCAGTCAATGATCGCACATAAAACAATTATGATCGTATGGCAAGCTACCGACTGGTCTTCACTCAGTCCATAGTTTTCGGTTGTCGGAAGCTACTCACAGACAGGGATGCATCTAAATGCGAGGCTCATCTCATAACATTGACTTCGTAGTGCTTTGTAAAACATTAGCTGTGACTTGATAGGCTTGCACAACAATTGTGATTATGTTATGTTGAAATGACAGAAGCTAAAATTAGCCATCCGTTCTCTCTTCTAAGACATGTCTCGGACTCATTGATTATCTGATGCCCAGATGTTCGAATATGTGGCTTATCTTGCACAGAGTAACAATTTGCTAGTCGTTATATTTGTTACAAACAAGACAAACAAAATACCAAATTCGATCTGAAATTGTCATCATTCCTGCTCATGGACTCCGGTGTACCTGCTTGCTATGGACTATTTGTTTGTGATTAATTCTGTCAAACATGAGTCTTAGTAAGGTTAGCCCCGATATGCATGTTCGATTTTGTCAGTAGCACTCTAGACTAGTATCAGCTATGTTCAAGATCAGAGACAGGTACGGGGCCCTCAACATATTGAATTTTTTACACTTACCTGCACCTGTGCCGCAATCCCACCGCGTGGATTTTGTTTGCCATATATTGTCGATTCAGCATGCTGAGCCTCCGTCGCATCATCCTTTGTAATGTACACAGAAGCCTCTCCCGGTATAGCAGGGACCCCAAGGGCCTCGTTACGATCTGCTATCGATCGGACTTGCGCGGAGACGGACCCAGGGCCAGGTGGCTTGTTGAAGGCGCGACCCTACCTCAGATATATTAATTAAACATGTTCATTATTTCAGATAGAGCAGCCATAACGCTCTTACCTCCGCCGCGTGAAAGTTCTCGAGCATCCTCCTGTGTAATGTGGCTCTGTGGCTTCCGCGATAAAGCCTCCAATTTCTCATCGAAATTCATCTGCTTCATTGCAAGGCTTTGTGCTGTCGCTGTGCACTTGGGTCAATACAATGCCACAATGTTAAGGCCTATGAACGCACCTGCTGTTCCACCTCTGATCGGCCCACCACCGGTCAATTCGCTCTCGTTCTGCGCTAAAGCAGAGACATCCTCTGGGTCAATGCGCTGGCCGCTTTCCATGGCGCGCTTCAGTTCAGGAATATCCGGAATTTCAGATGACATGATTAATTGCCGAATGACTACTGTGTTATCCTCGATGAGATGTTTACATGTTGTTTGACCCAGATGGATTTCAGTGTTTATATGTCCGATCGACCCGTTGGGACAGCGGTAATGTCACGCTAAATAAATCGAGCATTGTGCCCGCCTCATCTCCTTTCGCCACCCCAAAGCACGTCAGGTTCAGGAAAGGATCCTTCATGGATAGTAAGCCGAGGTATGGTGAGAATGGCAAAGCTGTTATCAAGCCCCAGAAACAGCTGTGGTTTGGCTTTCAGGGTACCTGTCTACTGACAAGCGAATGACACCCACTAGACGAATTCGATACAATGTTTGAATCTAACTCCACCCAAATGATACTAACTTTTTGGCTACTACGATATAGTCTGTGTGGTTCTTTGTCGTCGCTGCGCCTTCACAGAACACTATAAACAAACTTTACTATGATCACACACCCACTACTAATTCACATCAGTTGTCTCATTGTCCGGTAATTTCGCCTTGGAAAAGATGGCGCTTTGAACAGACTAATGGGGTGGAACGGCAGCTCAAAGCAACTTCCATCACGAGTCCAACAGTACGAGGCAATTTCATAACGAAACACCTTCATGAACGATATCCGTCAACGAAGATGCTCTGCCCCATGAGCGCCCCAGTGCTTGGATTTCAACAATTCCAACAGAATAAAAACACGCAAGCACTCCGCGAGTGTCACGTCACATCAGTCAATGTAGCGGCAACCTTCTGGTGCGTCTGTGGCACAGTAACATCCTACTTCGCCAAGAGTGTGGTCTGATATAGAATCTTAAGTCTGGAGACCTGGCCGGCAACTTGCAGGTCTTCTGTGGAAAAACCACTACCCATGCGTCCCGACCCGATCTACAATCGTGTTACTTGAGAGGTTACAGTACTGTACCAATGGGGTGGTACGCTACATATGCGCTTGGCCGCATCAGCAACCATAGGGGTTGGAAGGAAAAGGGAGGCAGATTGTGTTACTGTTGATGGTGGTTCAGGCATGTGGCTTTCCGATGACCTCATCTCAAGCTGGCATTCGATCCAAGCCACTGGGACTGAAGTCACTCCATGAGCACTTTAGCTAGATGTTGGCGCAAATATCTAGGAGCGATGGTAATTGGGGCATCCTTCCCTTGTTGGGAGAGAATGTCCTCATTGGTAGAATAAGGATACTATGTATGGAGTTGGTGTGTCAGTCATTGATTTTTAATATAACTTATCTCCATCGCTTCTTGAATATATCAATGCTGGACTTCCGCCAATGAACATTGCAGGTGATGGATTGAAATGTATCCCTTATATCTTCTCTTCGCATACGATATGTATCAATGAATTCCAACCTGGGGTTGCAGTTGAATGAACTACTAGTATCTTAGCAGGCCAAGAGTCACAGCGATAGCGATAAGCACAAGCCGGTACCGGGATATGGGCCAATGGCAGTGCGCCTTCTTCCGGGTTCCCGTGATTCATAAAGCCGGTTCCGGCACAACAAGGCTTGGTGGCCAAGAGTTTCCCAATGGAAGCATTTGGAGGGTCTCTTAGCAGCAAGAATTAGTTGTGTTAGTTTTTTGACTGATTATGGATAGGCCTGTCTTCCTCAGTTCAACTCACTAAAGCATTTCTCCATCGCGTGTGGATACGCCTTGATATATATTTTTGTCGGGAAATGACGCGACGGAGGTCTCAGCATTACTAACCATCATTTTTGTTGGCAGATGGGCCCCTAGTACTTTTGATTACTCCATCAAGGGCTGTTCTAATACTAGTAAGTAAGTAATAATCATAAATCTCCGTTATATCTTGGCTTTGCACTAACTTTGTCAGGTAAGTTGTTACATTCCAAGACTTCCGACTTCTTCTCTTTTCTCACTCTATCGGAGATTAGAATGGCGCTATCTCCGCGTGCTGTTCCGGAGCCAAATCTTGGCCGCCGGCGTCTCCATCATCCATCATCGCAACAACAGCAGCATGAGCCACCGGATCATAGAGCTCGAGCCCGCATGCAAGACACTTCATTTGCAATGGCATCCAGCGAGCGAACGTAAGTTGTCGTAACCCTCTTATATAACCAGTACTAATTTGGTTGGATAATAGACCTTCACCATCGGTGAAACGAGGTAAAAAGGCCTGCACTGAGTGTAGGCAGCAGAAGGTATGGAATGTGAACGCATGAGTATCTTCTTATAATGACAGAAATGGGGTTCTGTAGCTTTGAATAACTGTTTCTAACTGGATTGTAGGCAAAATGTGACGCCTACTTGAATCCCAGTCAGGCATGCTCACGTTGTTTAAAGTTGAACATCCAATGTGTTATATCGGATCCATTTCGTCGGGAACATAAACGCAAGTAGGTTAAATCTATGCTTGCCAGGAGCCAAAGGAGATAAAGGGTGACTATTTCACAACAGGCGACTCTCCGAGCTCGAGCAAGAGACAGACGAGCTGCGACGAAGACTAAGATATACACAACCTGACCCTTCTCGACCCTCACCCATCGCGATGCTAACGGCTGCGGCGGAAATGGGGGTTAACCCAACAACTGCTGAGGGCAACTTGATCTTCCATGCTCAGTCGCATACACCCCCGGTTGAAGGTTCGCAACACATATTACCTTCCCCTGGACTAGGACCGTCGTTACCAGGGCCAGAGATGGTTTCAGGTGTACGCGCCCCTGATGCAACGGAACCCCGTTCGCTGAACAACGTCTATCTTACCGGAAGCGAGATAGACGAGCTCTTCCAGATGTGAGTATACCTATGCCCGAAAGTGTCGTTCTGGGCGTTTCTGATGCGGAGTAGCTTCTTCCACCAATATGCTTCCTTCCTTCCAATTCTTGACCCGAAAACCACACCAAACGTGTATTATATGCAGTCACCATTTCTGTTTTGGACTATAGTCGGGATTGCATCCCGAACCTATTCCAAAAACCCAACCTTGCTAACCGCTCTTGCACGCACTGTGAACGAAATGGCCTTCCTCTCGATCGTATCGGGAAGCTCAGCGTGGCACAGCATTCAAGGGCTGTTGCTCGTTCTAACGTGGCCATTCCCGAAAGATGCTAATATGGCGGACTTGACGTTTCCATTAAGCGGCATGCTTCTACACATTGCCATGCAGAATGGTTTACACATCCCGATGTCCAGCCATGAGTTTTCTAAGAGAAAGAGACTTCCTGCCCCATCAGAAGCAGAAATGATCAGACGATCAGAGCTTTGGGCTCATTGCATTATCGTCTATCAGCGGTACGTGTTTGGTGCAGGACACCCATTTTCTTCATACTAACAAGGGTACAGTGCGTGTGTAATAAAAGGACAGCCCCCTCGCTCTCTAGCGAATTTGGAACCGGACGGTGAAATGAAACATTCATTGTTTCAGAGGATTTCCCCGTCGTTGGTACTTGAACTAAGATGTGAGGATCTGAAAACTCGCTGTAGTACAGCAGTACAGGAGCTCGGGGTCCGGGACATATCTCCTGAGCAAGAGAGATCGCTCGATATACTCTTACGGGTGTATGATGACCAAGCGCTTGATCTGGAGGCACAGGCTTTCTCAGGTAAGTCTGTTGTATTCGTGTCAGTAATTACAGAAGCTAAAGCAATATAGCGTACGATAGGTTTGCTACGAGCATGTGTCGTTTGAGTGTCCAAATTTTTCAGCTTTTCCGCAATCCCAGTTCATTCTCATCGGGTTGTCTTGCAGCTCTGACGACAGCTGCATCTGACACCATTAACAGCATACACAACTTGGGACAGAGCATGGCCGGCTTTGCTACTTCTCCCATCCAGATGAATTATGCGCTGCTTCTAGCGTCCTCGGCCCTTTTACGGGTACTGAAAGGCCCACATTGGGCTACCATGGATGTTGACAAGGCTAAGTCATCCTATTTCACTGCAATCAACTTGGCCAAGCAAATGTCGGTTCACAACTTTGATATCGCGGCCAAGACGGTCATGGTATTAAGCCAATTATGGAATAGCACCAAAGCGTTCCGGAAGGCAGACGGGAGTGAATACCTCGCTCTTCGGATTCGGAGCCGGTTGGTTGTCAGTCCTGTTATTGATACGGTGTGGTGGTGGCGAGAAGAGTTCGACCCCCAGTTCTATAGCACGGCCAGTTCCCAAAGCAATGCCCCAGAAGGTACGGCCATGCGCATCCTGATAACAGATACGCGCGGTTACTGACGCATCTTTCATGTACGATAGGAACCGATGCAAGCCGCGATAATCCAGGGACTTCAGGGGCCGCGCCTGGAGGCTCTACGGACCGGCCAGATTTCTCGTATTTTGACGAGCAATTCCAGGCGGATTTTGAATGGGCGTTGACGGATGAGTTTCTCTTCGCTCCCACCGAACCGTATGGACCGCTGTAAGTCGCTGATCTTTGCGAGAGCTGCGAAAGCAAAGAAAAGAAAAGCAAAGAAAAAGAAAAAAAAAATTGAGGATGGATGCCCATGATGGCAAAATCCGAACACCGCTACGCCCGAATTGAACCCTCGACGCAAGATCATCATTCGATCAGTTTACAGGGGTGAAGTGACGGGCAGTCTATCGCGTGATTCCTATAGCCAACATAACCCACCAATAGTCTTGAGATAAAAGAAGGGGGGGCTTACAGGAAACGCCAGATCATGGGATGGAGAAGCATAAGGTTCAAGCCAGCCGGTCAACCCAACGGAGCCCCGGGTAGTCCAGTGAGCTAAAGCAAACCTGGCATATGCAGTGGACCTACCGGACGTCTGAGTGCCTGGTCGTCGTATATTGGTGTGCATGCTCCTGCAATCATGGCTGCTGTAGGCGTTTTGTCCGGCTAAACTGTAAGCACAATATGGATCCCTATCTTGTATGATATGTTTATTATCAACCTCGTATTTGTTAGACGCGGTACCCACCACAGATCGGGGCTTCTAGTCTATCTAGCAAAAGGGCTAGATTGGGGATGTAGCGCAACGGTCGATATTAACTCATGTCAGTGGTTCGTGGCGAGCC